GGCGTAGAATAAATAAGGTTGGAAACCACTGATTTACACAAATAGAAAGAAGACATACCAAGAGGAAGTAATAATAGTACCATAACTCTRTGGTTGAGTTAGATAACTAGATGGATGGAACAGATTGATTGAGAATTTTTGAAAATATATTTAAAGTTCTACAAGAATTTACTAGGTATCATGCCAGTCATTAGTTGTTCTTTTGAAAGAGCATTTTCAAAAATGACAATAGTTAAGAGTAAATTACGCAGTACAATGGCTTAAGAAAGATTAGATGCCTTACTGATAGTATTTATTGAACAAGAAATTGCAAACTCATTAGATATGGAGGAAATTATTGATGAGTTCAAAACACCGACACTAATACAGATAAGATTACCATCATAAATGTTAATACTATTGACTATTAAGTGAAATTAGTTGTACATCTAATAATATGTAAATTAATAATTGTTTTTATTTTATGTAATAGTCAATAATAATATTAAATTTACATCTAATATTTTTTATTTTCGCTATCAATAAAACAGTGCCTAAAAAATTTAAATTTAATTATAAAATAAACTAATTATTATGATATAGAGACAATATTTATCTTACTGAATTATAGTAGATCAAGTAACACTTACTAAAATAATTTTGCACACCCTGTGAAAAATTCTTGCGCACGCTTATGATTTTAAAGTTAAAGCATGATAATGATCTTTATAAGTACTTAAGTATTAACATAGTAGTATTGATATCAATAGAATAGGTAAAGAATAAACTAATAAATAGWTTGGTGGATAAAGGGGTTTTAGTCCTCTAAATGCTTGATTTGAATGTCAATATAACAAGTAAACAACTATGAATTCATAAATAATTTTGTTCATAGAGACATTAATTGAAACAGACATTTTTCTTGTATACSTATTGGTTTTTAGGTTTCAATAAACTGCTAACTTACTTTACATTTGTTGCAGATATGAGTAAAAGAAGTTTATTTCTTATAGTATTTATTTTCTACATTTATGTAACAATAATTCAATGTAATGAATTACCACTATGTTACAACCAACCTGCAGAGTCTTGTCCATTACAAAATAAATGTAAATGCGTGAAAACTGGTGATTCAGCATTATTTTGCTGCCAAGTTCAGTCAAATGAAGATTTAATAAAAAACTTTGAGTGTTCAGGTATAGAATAAATTATTACTGCATACAACATTTTTAATGTACTTTGATTCAAAATTAATTTGCTTTGTAATAAAATAACATTACTCATTTGGGTTATTTTTGTATTAATTATTTAAGGTTATGGTGGAAACCCCTAAATACCTATTTAGGATTAAGGCTTAAAACTTTGATTAAAATATCTGATTTTTAAATTTAATCTTAATATGAAATATGTGAAATACCTTCCAAAATGTTTGATCCACGCAAATAGTTTTCTTCATTATTAAATTCCTATGATAAATAGGTAATTAATAATTATTAATGCAAGGCAATCTTATAATATTTACCCGTATACATTAAAAATAATAATCATTAAAGTTAAATCTATTTAGTATAATGCATTGATAGTTTGATACTTATTTATTTCTAAATATTTTAGGTGCTAAGTTATCAACAATCACAGCTTTACACATTTACAATATGACAGCTGACAATTTTAATTTTGGAAAATTTTCTCCTGAATTAAGCCGTTTGATCTCATTTTCAATTACAAATAGTTATATTAATCGACTACTTGGTCGTTTAGAGTACATGCATCAAATTACTTGCTTAAATTTATCGAATAATGCTTTTGGTACAGAATGGCAAGATCCTCTAGCRTTGGAAAATCTTAAAATGTTAGCTATGTTAGATTTTTCCAATGTAAATATATCAAGTTTACCTACCATAAAAAGTCAAGTGCCGATGTTTTGGTTGGACGTTTCAAGTAATTAAGCTCATCAATTCATGTAAAAATTAAAACTGTTTTAAACTTTTTATTTGTCTAATATTTTTTAGATAACGTAAAAATTCATTGTGCAAGTCTTCTAGATCTTATGGAAAGATCAAGAAATGCCAAGTACAAATTGTATTTTAAAAAATATAATGAAACATTTTGTATGTCATCACTGTCATTTCACTGGTTCAATTCCACTGAGAAGGTTGCATTAAATCAAGTAGAAATTATTAACAAGGTAATATTAGTTCTTAAATATTTAAATTTTTAATCAACAAAGTATAAGAATTACCTTTTTAATTTCTGTTAATAATTTAGTTATACGAAGATTGTCCATTGAATTGTAGTTGTAAGTGGCATGGTATAGAAATGGTACAAGAAACAAAGACACTACATACCGTAGAAGTAGATTGTTCAAATAAACAACTTTCAAGTTTACCGGAAAAC